AAAATAGATATACTTTTTTTTTGAGCATGTGTGTACAAGGTTACTTAGCATCAGGACCCACTTTATTACAATCAACTCAAGCAAAGGTAAAAACCCCCTTATAGACTAACTCAATCCTAGTCTACCCATTCTTGAGCTGGCTTGAATTTTACTCAACATAGTAGACCTGAAATATTAGTAGGCAAGGCAATCATAGAAAAATAGAAGTATCAGTAATGTTTGCTATCATCAAAATTATATATCCTAAAATCAGATTCGCAACAAAGGCTATAAATATTTTAAAACTTTTTAGCCTTTGAAAATGAATTTAGTTTTTAGGGTTAAAATGCTTAAAATGCTTCCAAATTGATATGGTTGATCCTTGGGATATGTTTAATCAATATGCAACTAATTGATCATGAATTTAAGATCATTTGATAGGGTTTTGAAGGATTTTAAATTTTCCTAAAAAATGGTTTTGAACCAAGAGGTTTTGGATTTAGATTCTAACAAATGATTTTAGATTTTGGATTTTGAATTAAATTTCTAATTTTGATTGATTTAGGATTGTATTTGATTTGATGTTTTTAACCTCACACAAAAATGAGATCAACATGGATCTGACTCCATGTACTTTTATGTACGTATGTGTGTAAAAGTATGCATCAATATTCTATAAATTTATTCAGTGAGGTAGGACATCCAGATTTTAAGTGGTGTTTTTATTCTTCCATTTATCATCCATGTTTTTCATAAATCCAGCATGATTGGTCAATCATATCTCCATATGTTTTATGTATTATTAATTATTACTTTAATATGTGTCTTTTAATAAATTAATAAAGAGTTGTCACTCTCTTCCCTATTGTGTAATCAATCAATAATTATTGACTAACATCTAGAATTATACCAAAAAATTTTATTTTAAGAAAAGCATGTTGGCCTACCCTCTTGAATATGGATTATACTTTTAATACCTAACTCATATTAATTATAGTTTTCTCAGTTAGCCTTTCTTACTTTTATGTAAATTTCTCATTCATCATGTATCAGTCGTATAATTTTCTCTATACAATTCAATATCATGCATGAAAATGCAATAATACTGTTATAATCTATGAAATCCATGGTAATCTATATACTATTTATTAATTTCAAAAAATCATAACTATCTATTTATTCAATGAAATTCAATAGTTTTACTAATAAAATGCCCATAAAAAATATATCTAACACATAAAAACGTTTACCTCGCAAAAGTTTGATATATGAGTGGAAAATGTATTTATTATTAATTTTGGGAAAATTTAAGTCATAGAACACAAAATCATTAAAAACAAAGATAGGATTTGGATTAACTACAATGATCTAAAGAAAACTCGTAATATATTTAACACATGAAAATGTTAAAAATAGTTTTATCTCTCCTCTTCTCTCTCCATCTCTCTTCTCTTTCTCCTATTTTTTCTTCTCTCAAAAGGTAGTGAAAATGAGGGTGGGGGAGGCTTAGGTGAGAGATTTTAAGAGAAAATGCTCTTAGATATTTATTCAAAAAATAAATTTTCTAACCTAACATTGTAGTGCTCCAAAACCAACACTGCAACATTACCTCAAATTCTAAAAATTTGGAGAGCTTAATGCCACAACAGTGTCCACCCAACATCTTGGCATTGTCCACCCAACATCTTAGCACTCAACTAACCAAAATTTGAGATTATTAAGATCCACCCATCTTAGAGAAAAGTCATCCCTGATATTTCCAATATTACTACATGATAAGATAAAATAAGAATACAACATGATAAAAACTATTTCATTCAAATCAAATTAACATTAAAATCAAATCAAAAATCAAATACGTATAACAAATCAAATTTGTACAATCATTAGTAAATCAAATAAATTATTGATCATTGATTTATCAATCATAACATTTAATAAATCATAAATTCAATAAGGTAACTTAATCATAAATCTATGCATAACATTCAATCATGTGTTCAGTAATATGTTATGCAATGGTTATTAATCAACCAACGTAATAATTATTAATCAAATACAAAGAATAAAATCTATACAACCCATTTTTATCCCACTAACCATCAATCATATAGCTCTGGTTATAATTTAATTCTTTCAAAAATCTTCCTTTAATACAAACTATTATATACAAATATCTAAATTTTGGAAGTATCATATGTTTTATCTCTTTTTTTATTTTCCAGAGCCACTAAGGCTCCATCGATATAAATAAATAAAGTAGAAGAAATTATAAATCATATAAAATAAAATATTTATATATAGATTTATCAAAATCTGATTTATAATAGCATGAAGATCAATCACAACATTGACCTATCTCACTAGGCTATTGACTACAATAAAATAAAATAAAATATAGATAATAAAAGAAAAATTAAAGATACTGATTTGCCTCACTCCACGGGGTTTTTATCCCTTCCAAAACCTAAAATCAATAAAAACTACATAATGAGCTTACAAAGCTTAACAGAATCCTAAAATTATTAAAGCTTTCAATACAAGGTCTCAAAAGTCAACATGCATGCTTATCTCGTTCAATATCAAGTCAGTAGCTATCAATATAAATAATGATCATAAACTAGTGATACAAATCAAAGTGATATGTGAATGAGGAAAGCTCGGAATTTATTACACTAAACTACATAGCCACTATTATATGCTTGAAAAGTAAATACATCAATTTCATACCAAGATAATCAGTACAATATTGGGTACAATACTATCAGTTGTATTCATTGCATATTATATATGAATCATGAATGCTTCTATCACTATTATCAATGCTACAGTCACATGTAAATACTGCATAAATATTTTTAATCTTTACCATTTCCATGAGTATATTCTTATGTAATGTATGTTTATTTGATTTCATATGCTTTTATTTATGCATATCAATGTAGGCATCAATATCATATAAATTTTGTTTAATAAGTTAGGACATCAAATTTTTAAGTAATATTTTCATTATTCCATCCATCTAATCAATCTATGATCATCAGTTAATTCATATCTCCATATATTTCAATTATTATCAATTATTTACATTATAAGGTGGCTTTCAATAAATCAATAAAGGGTCATCACTCTCTACGTGATGGTATAACTAGTAAATTATTTATAGGCTAACATCCAATATTACACCATAAATCTTTATTTTAAGGAAAACCCATTAGCCCACTCTCCTCTATAGGGATTATTATTTTAAAAGCTTACTCGTATTAATTATAGGGTCCATAGCTAAAATTTATAGTTTATATGAAAATACCTCATTCAACATCATGTATCAGTTTTATCATTTTTTTCTATGCAATTCAATACCATGCATGGAATGCAATAACCCTATTACAATATATGAAATGTGTGCTAATCTACTTACTATTCATTAATGTAAAAAAAATCATAACTAACAATTTGCCAAGTAAAATAAAATAATATTACTGTAAAAATGCCCATAAAATCATATCAATCACAACCAAATGGTTATATGATAAAAGTTCAATACATCCAGAGAAAATATGTTTTATTAATTTTTGGAGGACTAAAATCATCAAACAAAAAATTACTAAAAATAAAGATAGGATTCGGGATAACTACAATGATTAGAAGAAATATCATAATAGATTCAACAAATGAAAATGCTCCAAATAATTGTCTCTCATCTCTCTCTCGCTTCTCTTCTCTCTTCCCTCGCTTCTCCTTCTCCTTTATTTTCTTCCCCAACAAGGTAGTGAAAATGAGCATGGGGAGACTTAGGTGAGGGATTTTAAGAGAAATTACTTTTAGGTATTTATTTTAAAAAATTAATTTTCTTACCCAGTGCCGCAACACTCTAGAACTAGCTACACAACGAGATCTCCAATTTCATAAAATTGGAGAGCTCAATGCCACAAATGTTGTCCACCCAGCGCTGCAATGAATCAATTACATTTTGAGGGAATTGGGGAAAATAAATTTGAGGTTATTACAACATGAATGCTTGTTAAGTTGTCTTCAAGTTGTTCATTCTCTTGCTCTCCTTCTCTTAGAATTGGAACTAGATCACTCTCAATCACCCGTCAAAATCTGTTAATTTATTTGAGGAGAAGAACTAGCATAATCACATTTTGTTGATCACCTTGTAACTCCTAATCATTTAGTTTGATTCCCTAGCTCTAAAGAAGTATACCATTCAAACAACCTTCAATTACATATAGTCTCTTGGTCATTTAATCTCTCTTCATTCTAGAAGAGGGATTATCATGATCATCTTTAATCACCTATCAACTTGAGACAATTTAGTTCCTCTTTTTTAAAGGGATGGATTATCTCAGCCTTATTGTCTCCCATCAACATCAACATATTTAGATTTCCTTCACTAAAATCATAGTATATATTCACCAGAGTTTGAATATCATAATTTATGTTGACATATTCTTGAACTTTAGATAAATATATCTTTTTATCATCTATAATTATAAATTATAAAATTTATTTTGATTGGGCTAGGTCTAATATATTTCTTTTTCATAATAATGTTCACAATCTTAAGGTCACCCCTTTCTAAATTTTTTAATTATGTTAATAAGATTAGATAATTTTATTCTAAATATATATATGGAGCATGATTTTCATCCTTAATGAAATTTTAATTATTAATAATATTTTAATCAAAAAATATCTTCACATCACCCAAATTTAATTAAAAAATATTATGTCTCCCTGAATCTCCTCCTCTACACTGAAAAATCAGCATCCATTAGAATTTTCCAACTTTAGCAATAAACCCGGGTGTAAATTTACTTAGCAAGCCTTGCCAACCATTCCTCTCCACGTCCCTTCCGCTTAGTGGGCTTCTCCCCATGCAGAGGACACTCCGCCATCTTCGGTAACCTCACCGCCGCTCCTAAACCCAACAGCGAAATAGGTAGATCTCTACAGTATCTTCATATATGCTCCTGTTCTTTTCTCTCTCTATCACTTCCCACTTCGTACTTTCCATGGCCGGAATCCAAAGTGGCGCCGCCTCTCCCGACCTCCTCACCGAGGCTTGCTTCGCCGTTCGTCGCCGTAAGGGCACTTCCACCGGACACCGCCGCGCCGCCGCCGCCGCCGCCGCCGGCTTTTCCTCACCGCCTATACTACCTCGCTCAGTCACCACTCCACCAGAACCCGTAAGAACAAGCATTTCTCCTTTTGCTTCTAAATTTTTATTTCTTTAGGGAAATTCTTGGATACGGTTTTTTTTTGGGGGGGATTTGTTGATGAATTTAAATTTTGAAAAGCAATAAAATTTACAACATACATTTTAAAGTAAATGTTGAGATTTTTTTTTAATAATTTGGTTAAACTATTTTTTTAATAATTAAGTGATTTATTTTTTGCGTTATTGTTGCAAAGTTTTTTGTTCTGATTGATGGGGCCCTGTGTTTGAATCTGTGGCACGTCTCTTGATTTTTGTGTTTGAAGCTTGGTAAATGTTTGGAAGATAAGAGATAATATTTTTTTCTGTCATATGGGTAAAATAAATAAGTAATAACTTTATATTTATGTAAATTTAATTTTTTTTTTAGTTATTTTGAGGGGTTAGATTAGTTGCAGCTGCAATGAGTTATTTATGCTATTTGTTTCGTTTTATTATTATTATTTTTATTTATCTTTTGTAGAAATGTTTTCATGTATATTATTTGACCAAATTTGGGGGTGGGGGCTTAGGGTTTCCTTTCTTATGGTGGAATGGCTGGAGAAAGTTTGGGATATAATTTTAATTATGAGGAGAATATTAGACTTGCTTTAAGATTAGTAAAATATATAATTAATATATCAAAGCTTGTATTACGCTCATCTTGAGGTATCTATAGGTTTCGTTTGGGGCATCTTTCTCATTACTTTCTAAAATAGCTTTGTTAAAAAAATTTCAATTATAAGAAAATTTTTAACTAGCAAATTGTTTTAGAAAGCATTAAGAAAGTTGTCACGAACGAAGTCATAATGATCATTAAATTCATAGTCATTATATTCTCATCTAATTTTTGTTTAGATTTGCTAGCTTTCAAGCAAAATTTGAAATTTGGGAAAATTTTTATTTTAGGTTCGAATATTTCGGTGCTTCAAATGTATAAATAGAGATGGAGATATTATTAATATATATGTGCTAGTAAGTTATTCTTATTGTTATGGGATTGTTTGAATACAATTTTTTTAAATAGACAAAATTATATATTTTTTCTTTTTCTAGTTATGTATAAGAAGAGATTATTTTTATTTTTAGTGGAAAACAGGAGGAATTGATTGATTGATTCCATTTTGCTTAGCCAATTTTTGGATCTTTTTTTTTTTTTATTTGCGATCTACTTTGAGATAATTGGAGGCCTTGCATCTTGCTTTTCAAGAATTGAAGACATAATTGAGATTTTCGTCTACAAGAAAAACTTTTGTTGGAAATGCTTATTAGCAACTGGAACCTACTGAGGATTTAAAGAGCACACAAAAAGTCCATAGGATAAAACCAACAAAATCAATAATGTAGTGATAATTTGCAACATTAGATGAACTTAAAATACATAATAATGAATGAAGTACTTTAGATTTGTGCATTGGGAGCATAATTGTTCAAATTTCTTTTTAAATATTGTATATTTTCATTATTCAATACTTGCTTCACTAACTTAATAATTGTATGTGACATTTTTTTGGATGAATTTTGTTGTAGGGTTTGATTTGGACTATCAGCAACTTATGTAATTTTTTGTTTTTTTAAGTGTTATTTTTTTCTCTACTAAATTTTGAATATTTTAGACTATTCAAGGCAAACCGTACAACTTAACTCTTTTTTCGATGGTGTGACCATAACATTTATGTGGTTGCACTTAGTCAATATGTTGCATAAATCTAAATGGTTGACCACCAAATATTTGAATAATTCCCATATGGAATTTGAGTTTTCCACCATTTTAGTATTCTAAATATTGTCAATTATTTAGTTTGTTTATGATAAATATCAGGGAAGTACATGCTAGTAAAATGGAATGGAAAGAAAATAAATTTCTCGAAAAGCATATTTATATCAATGATTACAAATATAAATATATGATATAGATGCATGTATGCATGTGTGTGCGCTATTAAGTTGAACATGATAAAAAAATATTTTGTTCATATTCAGCTCATTAAATAAATGAGCTAGTAAAATTAGTCCAACTCAAGCTAATTATCGAAACAAACACAAACATCAAGCTTATTTCAATATCCTTAGGCTTCATTTTGGATCACTTTCTTATTGCTTTCTAAAGCGGGTTTCTAGTACAAAAATTTTTAGTTCAAGAAATTTTTTAATACTAGAAGGATGTTTTAGAAAGAAGTAAGAAAGTTGTCCCAAACGTGCCTTAATGAGAGTTATAAACTATACGTTTCATAATTTTGAATATGGTAAATGTAAGCGCCAAAGTAAGTTGCCAAATGTGCACCATTTCATTACAATTGTTTTATATTAGGGAAAATTTGATCCCAAAATATAGGCAATAATTCCTTAGGTCCTTAAGAGTTGAGCTAGTTGGCACTCATAATTATCAACACTAATTTAATTGCAATAAAACAACCTACAAAAAAATAGTTGACAATAATATGAAAATTTTGAATGCTAAATTAATTGAGCGATATAAGGCACTAGGCCTTGCTTTCAAAAATGAACCCCAAATGGGAATATCTATCCATAGTAGCATGCATGGTTAATGGTTTCATGAAACTAATGAAGAATTTCTTTTGTTGAGTCAACTGTCACTCATAGTTAGCGGGAAAGAAGCTCCTTTTGAAAAAGCCTAATATGAAAGAGATTCTTGTTGACCTATGTACAAAGAACAAAAAAGAGAAGAAAGAATAAATCCAATGCGTATATAACTTATATTCGTTGAATCCCGAAATCTTACCGAAGTTCTGCCAAGGTACTGTATGTCAATGCCGAATCAGTCGCTTCTCCGTGAATCCATGCGTAAATCCCGTTCAAATAGCTTACCTCGTACAGAACAGCGCCGTTGGCGTCATCTCCCGGGATTTGCTCGTTCCTTAGAAGCTCCCGCCCGTTTGTGTCGTTAAATAGAGAGCGAGTCTCACTTCTTCGGCACTCAACTTCTCCTTCCCGTAAGCATCCCGCTGCTCACACGATATCCCATCTCCATCCCGTCGAGCTCCCTCCTCTGCATATACCGATCCCAAGCCGAGAGAGAGAGAGAGAGAGAGAGGGAACCTACCTCCACCGACCGAACTCCTCCCTGTCGTCCGACTCCATACCCGACACTTCCTTCACTGTCGGATCGGAAGTTGCTACATTTGATCGGAAGCAACTACAGGGAGCTCGCTTGCTGAAGGTAACTTTCTCCTTCACGCGCTCTGCTCGGCCAAATCCCTTAAATATGCCGAACCAAGGGATTTAGTAAATACAGTATTAAGCCGTAAATCCTTAATCTGGGATTTACCCATCGCCGGGATTTAACACGAGCACATAAACCGTTCGGCTGGATTTAACATAAATCCGACTTAATTTTCGCTGTAAATCTGGATACCAAATAAAAATCTTATATGATTTTCTGCTCCCGAGCATTTCTTCGACCAATTTTGGTAAATTAAAATTTAATTAGTTATAATAATTATTAATTATATCGCCTATACACGCCTTTATTGCGCGTGGTGGGAAGGAACCCCGGTGCGGCACCTACGGCGAGGCATGGTCACTTATAAGTACCCCGAGCGGGGGGAAAGTAAATTATATCATTTAAACAGGTACCGTCAAAGACCCCATACACGCCTTTATTGCGCGTGGTGGGAGGAACAAAAAATCATGGCCACGGTGTTCTCGTCAGAGGACACCTACCATATACGCCTTTATTGCGCGTGGTGGGAAAGGCCCAGTTTCTCGTAGTTTTCCCCTAAACAGGGGAGACGCCGGGAGGCTGCCGAAATTTTGGGTGAAATCGTACCTGGACCTGTTGAACTCAAAAGAATAAAGATGTGGACTCAAATGAACTGTGCACTTGTGGACCATAACCAAAACTCAAAATGATTTCTAAATGCCAAAATCAATTAAAATAAAAATCAAAATTGGAACCCAAATTTGAGTAATTTGAACATTCAATTGAACTCAAAGGACTGCAGGGGACATAGCACTTTGAACTCAAATCGGATTTGGTTCGCACATCAAACATGATTCAAACATTTGGACTCAAGCAAGAAACTTGAGTTGGACTTCAGAAGGATTTGAACACCGGGGCTTGATTTAGATCAAGCATAGTGGATGTGAATCCGGATTTGAACCATAATTAGATAATCAAATTTAATGAATGCATGATTGCCTGAATATCAATCATTAAGTTTGATTATGCAGGCGGAGGTCAATGAATGAATGAAGGTCACTCATTAAAATCCCAAATATAAGTGAAATGTTGGTTCACTCACAAGCAACAATGCCTGTTGATTGAGATGGCAATACTGGAGACCGGCAATCAAAGACCTGTCCTCTACAAACAAAAAACAATCAACAAACCACCCGAGATTGGTGAAAGGGTGGATTCGATGCAGAAACAATGGAGCTTCTACAAAATACTTGTAGGAGGTCATCGTAGAAGACATGTATCCCCTGCAAATAAAGAGATCAATGAATGAATGAAGGTCATTCATTAAAATCCCAAATAAAAGTGAAATATCGATTCACTCACAAGCAACAATACGAACTCCTACAAGTCACTATAAAAGATCTGCAATCCATACAAATCATTTATGAATACGAATGTATATACAACATCCACTTATGGGTAGATGCAGAAAGACTACAGTAAATACAATATCTTGTAGTCAACTTCAGTCTAAAGATGAATACATCTACCTCCGGCAGTAATGGATGTATTATAAAGACCAAAATCATAGCAGAATGCATAAAGAATATAAGTTCCTATGAGCTTCTACAACTCAAAGGCAGGAGATTAGTTAGTGCACTATGATCCACCTGCAGAAAGCAACGAGTAGTGCACGACAGTCTACCTGTACGAAGCAGCGAACAACTTTATCCAAAAGCTGATACGCCACACCACCGGATCTGCAACCTCCGTACAAGCAGACAGAATGCGTCTATTCCAAGAATACCCCCGCATATGCACAATAGTTTGTATACACATAGGCACACTAAAAGGGGGTAAAAGCAATCAAAGAACCCGCATGGGTCCCGGCGAGCGTGTTATTGGTACACACGTGACGTCTAGGGATGCTGCGCGGGTCAACAAGTAAATTCAAATTCAAACCCGATCCTTCTATACGGATCAATAGGAGTCGACAGGGTTCGAACCATTAAGCAAATATGTGGCCGTGGAGACCAGAATATTTGTTTTAATACATTCATATTAGGCCTTCAAAGCCTAAAATCAAAAGAATTCACTCTCAAGGGTATAAAGCCTACGAAACCCGATCCTCTGTCGACAGCCCGATAGAGTTGACAGGGTTCAATCAACAAAAGAGAAATGACCCCAAACACCCCGATGATGGTCGTGTTGAATACAGATCTCAACCGGAGGGGTTCCCAAATATTTTTAATTGTCTCCCAAAAGTCTATTCCAAACACTTTCAAGCTCCACCTAAAATACCCATTCAAAATCCAAAATTCCATAAAATCATCAAAGTCCAAAAATATTTAAAATTGAAATAAATCCATCAAAAAACTTAAAGCAAAATCCATCCACCCTCCGCAATAGTTTGTCGGGGCGGACAAATAAAGTTTACTTCAGCTCACAAAGAGCCAAATGCCTAGTCGAAATATCACTAGGATCCATTCTCAAATAATCTCTTGCCAGTAAGGACGTGGTACGTGTCCTCTAACCGGCAGTTTCGCCACCAATTGGCACTGCAGGTAAACGGTTATGACCCGGGGCCCTCTGAACCGAGTGATTTTGCCGCCAAATGACACCACAGATAGCGGTTATGGATAGAGCCAATATGCTCATTAATGGCGTTAAATCTTTGAGATATGAATCAATGGGATATGATCGATAGGGCACAAAGCCCTCTGTTAGCTAAGGTGGATTCAAATTTGTCCCCTTAGACAAACATTCAACCCCGGTCCACAAGGTCCCCTTGGACGAAGCAACCCATGGCTACCGACAATGATCCTTCTGTCAGGTTGGGTCGACTACCTCCTCTGACTAAGTAGACCAAGGACCACGATGGCCCGGGACGACGGAACCATGGGATCTTGATCGGGCCCATTATCCATTCCCCCACCATCCGCTTTAAGTGCTAGGTGGTGAAATTCCATATTTTAAATATCAAACTTTCCAATATTTCCCAAATATTTCATACTCCAAATTCTCAAATTCTCCAAATTTCCAAATCCAATCATCGCTGCTACTATATGCCGGATAACACGTATCTATACGTATCTGATTGACGACTAGCCTTAATCGAAAGTTCTCTCTCGTGATCGTGATCGGGGGGCTTGCGCCTATAGGAAACCAGAACTCAGATCATAAAGTCCTCACAAAATGAGGGCGAAATCTCTGGGTAGTGTCTTATCTACAAACCCATCTGCCTTCCAAAATTTACCCCGGAACTTATTCAGTTAAAACTCCCTCGCCGGAATAAAAGAAAAACGAGCGGGTGGAGGACGGGGCCGAATTTTCGGAGCCCACAATTCTTATTCAAATTCTATCAAATAAATGTCCTACTTGTTATTGGAGTAAGAGTAGCCATGGTGCATACTTAGCAGATTTGAGTCAGTAAAATGTGGTGCAATTCAAATATCATATAAATAATCAAATATGTCTACTTTTATGGTTGTTGAATTCTAGGTATTTTGCACCAATTTGCAAAGAAACTAGCCGTGATAACTCAAAAATAGTGCTACGATAGCTGTATTTTTTTGTAGTGAAGGTGGAAATTTTGAGATTTATTCGAATATATTTTATATTTTTTTATATTTAATTATTCATATAATGAGCCCCCTACAAAACTATAGTTGATTCACCCATGATTTCTAGTCTTCTAATTACTTGATTTATTCTTTCAATTTAAGATATGATGGTTGCTGTCAATGTCGTGCAACTCCAAATTTAATAACACCTAAATATTTGCCTTTATTATGGATAGCGACGTCAATATGAAATTTTGATCAACTAGGTACATTGATGGTACACAGTTGCAAGCTTTAGATTGTCAAGTGGGTGTTTGATTCAAATTTATCAAGAAATATCAAATGATATTTGTTTTTCTTGGTACCTAAGATAATGATAGTGCTATATAATTAATCAATTCTAATTTAAAGTCAAAACACAATTGAAATATCATTCAACTAAATAGTGATTGCTAGCTAGATCTATATGTTGGCAATTGGTTTCTAATTATGTGTCTTGCTTTGGAATAGGTATAGAATATTGAATATTAATCAATATTAATTTAGAGTCAAAACACAAATGAAATATAGATGTTTGATTTTTGTATGAGAATATGAATTTTTATTGATTAAAAATCAATGAAATGGTGTCTATTAAGTTTAAATCATAGATATGTTTATAACGCGAAAACATGCATAGGCAATCTGAAGGCATATTTGTATAACTATTTATTCTATAAAAATGCACAATCACAGATTTTTCCTTTCTTACCAAGTTTGAATTTATTCATTTTTCCATCAAGCTTTTATCATCTAATTTTTTATTGTATCTAAAATTTATTTTATTATCCTTTTATTTGTATTTCATCATATCTAATGTCTTTCATATTCTCTGTTTCTCCAAAGTCAAGAATAACACAACTCAACTTAATATGTTGGTTGTACGTGCACTTGGGTTACTAACAAAGAGGTCTTAGATTGACTTTCTTTCTTTTGAAATTTTTGATAAAAATGCTGTTATGACTATCACTCTCGAGCATAATTAATTGTAACTAAAAATATATATATGAACAATAGCAAAAATTTAAAATTGTGAAAAAAGACTTTAAAATAGGTCAAACAAGCTTATTTGTTCACCACCAATTCATGTAATTAGATGATTGAATATGTCGACACAATTTAGATTGTTGCATTTAAAGAAAGTGGAAATCCCTGAGGAACAGAGTTGTGGATTGTGCTAGGAATTATCCAATCTTGAGTGAAGCAAACCTAGGTTAAGGTTGTGCTTAAAGTCATTTGCTTCTATCTTGAGCTAAGTTTTGGCTTAACTATAGGTCATCTCAATTGGATAATGATTTAAGCTAGGCCATGATCATTAATAGTCATAAGCATGCTCAAGTTTAGTTAAGTAGCCATTTATTTCAAGAAAAAAAGGGAGGAAGAAATCAATGTGAATGGAACTTTAGTTAAGTAACCATCATATTGTTAATGAATCTTGAACTATGTAGCCACAATCTCAAAAAATCAAAAACATAAATGGATCTTAATTTTTGTAACCATCAATCTTGAAAATCAAAATCAAATTTTATCCTAAGTAGTTTGGGGCAAGCTTTACACTTCACATACATGTATGTATTTTTGGATCTAATAGTGAACTAACTCGAATCAATGTAGTTCAAATTCAATTCAAACCACATTTGGCTCTTTGGATGCCAAACTGCTATCCAATTTCAACCTATACTCATTTGAAGCATATGTGAATGATGTGTTGGGTTTATTTTGTTAATGTTTCCTTGTTGTTTAAATCAAAGCAATTTCTTATGTTATTTATTGAATTGCATTTTATGTTTGGCCTAATGTTAGGTATTTGAACACCAGCTTTTCGTGCCCGCCATCTGTACTGAACTTCCAATCACATATTGTGTGGTTTAGGAAGCACAAGTGGCCAATATGCAGACCAAATTGGAAAACAATTTGTTGAACTTTATATACTGATCACAATACTAAATCAGCATATAAGATTTTTATTAATGCCCTCTCTTTCTGGTCCAAAATCAATGTTTCAGATTAAGATATCATGAACAACTTAAACCTTATATTTTTACAAACCTTTTAGCCACTTTCCAAATGCAGTATTGGGAAATATGCTTAAAGATACAAATATATTAGGCACTTCAATAGCCAAATGCGGGTAAGAAAAAAGAGAGGAAAGAAAAGAGCAAGATAACTGGCCGAGCCTAACAACCATTACAGACATATATAAATTCATTCATAACTTAGTTTTTATTACTATCTGCACTTTTTGTTTCATTCCTTGTTGGTATCTAATTCTTTTTAGGTATTTTATAGTTCATAAGAGTATTAAATTTAGTATTTCTTCACATAAACTTCAATATTGCAGCTAGCCATGAATGGTTTGAGATTCCTTCTCCAGAAGGAACTCAGGAACAGTGATGTCGGCTCGCTGGGAAGAGTTGTTCTTCCTAAGGTCAGCATTCAGATGATTAATTTTCTACATATTGCAGCAACTTACTGCTTTGGGAAAAAACTTTGATGAATTTATGCTTCAGAAAGAGACAGAAGCCAATCTTCCAATCCTCACTGTAAGAGAAGGCATCTCATTGCCAATGATCGATTTGGACACAGCTCGAGTTTGGAATTTTAAGTTCAGGTTTGAATTCATATTTCAGAAACAGAAATAGCCAAAACTAAAAGTGATTCCTCTGTATTTCTAATGAAGGTTTTGGCCTAACAACAAGAGCAGAATGTACATATTGGAGAATACTGGTAAGATTATAGTTAAAATTCTTTCACTGCTAAACATATACTGTCATCTCGATCCAACAAGCTATCGAACTTCACTGTTCAAATTGTTTTAAGGTGAGTTTGTAAGGAGCCATGGACTTATATCAGGAGATTTCATCATGCTTTACAAGGATAATGAGAAAGATAGATATGTATAGCACAATCTTAAGATTATTATCATAATTTTATATGCTTTTATCTTACTGAAACTCTAATTGAAGCTCACTGCACTGATTACAGGTCATTCGAGCTAAGAAGGCTGGAATGCAAGAGCCAGTTCTTGCTTCACTTCCTGGAATAGAAGATGGAATCTTTGATTCCATTGTTACTGATATAGTGGTGGCTAGAGCAAGATATTCTGATCTGTATTTACCGTTAGGAGATGGAATGAATATGGCATTTGGTCTCAATTGTGCCTTCTCTGCGGACTTGTTAATGACTGTTCCTGATGAGAAACTGGAAAATTACTCAGCTGAATCTACACCTAAGTTGGGATCCATGGAGAACTTAACCTTGGATGATCTTTACTAATGGCATCTTGTTTCAAACGTTTTTTTTGTTTTCCTACTGTTTATTTGCTGCTTGAAAACAAAACTGGCTATGGTTTTTGCATATATTTACACAGTATATTAATAAGTTATGTTTATCTTTGGCTTATATTGCAAAGAATGTATAAGTCTACATCAATTTCTCATTTCTCCATGTAGTATCACGAGAAACTCCCCCCCAAAAAAATGATGGTAAAAGAGGTTCAAAAGTAATATCAAAAGCACTAATCACGTCTAAAAAATATAAGAGGGAATTGGTAATTTTATGGCATATTCAGTCAGCTCACATTGCTCAGATTCTGGTTTGCTCCGTTTGAAAAGAGCCAATTTGACAATAAGGTGCGGTCAAGTTAGTCAAGCACACCCAGGCTTCGTTTGAGACGTTTTTCTTCCTGTTTCTTAAAGCGGTTTTTTAGTACAAAAGTTAAGTTTTTTTAACTAAAAAGTAGCTTTAAGAAGCAGCAAGAAAGTCGTCCCAAGCGAAACCTCAATTGATAGACTGATCAATGTTGGTCTAACTTGGTCCTAGTTGATTTAATGTGACCCCGAGTAAAATTCACTAAACAATAACTAGTTTAATATGGTTTTGATGTCTTAATTTGATCTCCAAATTTCAATCATGATTTTGGCTGACTCAATTATCTAAAAAATTGTCTTCGTTGATCCATGATTGTACCAGTTGCATGATTGCGATTCACCTAATTAGGTAGTAGTTGTCCTAAATGGTCATGAGTGATTTATAAAAGTCCTACCGACCTAGGTTTAGTCTTACTTAGGAGGTTTTAATCAACTCAACTTAGTCCTAGGTGATGCGGTGAATTTTGGTGGTGGACCCTATATCCTAGTTGATCTAGTCGGCCTTATTAAGTGCTTGAATATTTGTAGGTTAGAGAAGGATATTATTATCTTAACATGGCATGAATATCTCACATATACATTAGATAGCTGATAGGATATTATGAGATATTGTATGTGGAAGATCCATAAAGCCAAAAAAAAAAATCATGGGGTTTAACCAAAGCATATCATTCCCATAAGTGGTGAAGGAATTAATACAATATAGTTGTCATAAACAGTCGAGGATATATTTCGTAATTGAAGTAAGCCTCTTGATATGCATAAGTTAACATCGGGAGATGGTGGGCAGTTGTCTCGATCAATGTTTGTACATGGACGTTAGTTGTCAGTAGTTGAAAAACATCATATGTTAGCAGATGTTGGGCAAAGATACATTATGAGTGCTAGATAATGTGCAATGCCAATGATCAAGGAATATCTGACGTATGGCAACCGTTCGTGATCTATTTAGTCATTCTCGTTTAACAGAGGAGATAAACTACTAAGAAGGATGACATCAAACATCAGTGGATAGTAACATTAAATGTAGACAAGGATTGGACGACAATCAATTGAGATTGTCTAGCATAGAGAGATGACTTGCAGTATGCTCGATCATTGTTCTTACATAGAGGATACCAGTAATTAAGAAATTAGGGGATCAAACATTAATGGATAACATGAGTTTACATTGACAGTCATTAGATAAAAATTGATTACGAATGTTGGATGCTAGGGTGATGAAAAGCGGTTTAGTCAATTATTCTCCTTATAGGAGGTGAGATAAACAACCATGAAAATGAGCATCAGGCATCAAAGACTGACCTATATTGAGCATTTGTGGGCTCCTAAAATTAGCGCCTCGGCCTCCCCGCGACTTTGCTTTTTTGCTTTCAAGTTTTAATAGATTAAGTTCCAAGGTAAATTTTCAAAATGCATATTGGGATTGTAGATAAGACACACCTAGAGATTTCACCCTCATTTTGCGAGGAATTTATGATATAAGTTCTTATTTCTTATAGGCATAAGCCCCTATAGTTAGTTACCCCTCCCAATCATGAGAGAGAATTTTCGATTAAGGCTAGTCGTTGGTGAATACATCGTATTCGTGGATATGTGATATCTGGCATATAGTAGCAGCATTGGTTTAGGTTTTGGAAATTTGATAATTTGATATTTAAAATTTGGAAATTTACCACCATGCACTTTAAAGCGGATGGTGGGGGGAATGATGATGAACCCGATCAAGATACCATGGTTCAGTCATCCCGGGCCATCGTGGTCCCTAGTCTACTTAGTCAGAGGAGGTAGTCAAACCAACATAACAGAAGGATCCTTGTCAGCAGTCATGGGTTGTGTCATCCAAGGGTACCTTGTAGACTTGGAGTAGATGTTTGTCTAATGGGACAATTTTGAATTCACCTTAAATGACAAAGGGCTTTGTGCCCTATCAATTATATCATATTGATTCATATCTCAAATATTTAATACCATTGGGGAACATACGGGTGGGAACCATAACTATAATATAATGGTGTTATTTTATGGCAAACCGCCCCATTCAGAGGATCCCAGTCATAGTCATTTACCTATGGTGCCACTTAACGGTGAAACCATAGGTATAGTGCCATTTGATGATGAAACCACTGGTTAGAGGACATGTGACACATCTTTACAGGTAAGAGACATATTTAGAATGAATCATAGTGATATTCTCGACTATATATATATTGTTGACCTTATTTTTGTATGAGGTCATAGGGACCCATCCAAATCTCCACCTAATTGATCTGATGGTTGACATTTCTTCAGTTTTCAATCATCTAGAAATCGATTTAGGATTCAATCTAGATTCAAATCAAACCCATACTTCAAACCTATCAAAACTCCAAGTCTATCTTGATCCCAGTTCAAACCTCAATCAAGACTTCAAACCAGTTTCGAATTTAGTTTCAATCCTATAAAGTCATTTACAACCATCCAACTGATTGTGAGTGATGTGGATAATTCAAATTGAAGAAATCAAATTTAAACTAGACAAACCCCAAAAATTGTGACCAAATTCCAAGGCTAAAAGGTTATGTCCTAAAAGTTTTTTAGTGATTTTTCAAATATTTCAAACCCTGGTCAACCCAAATCATGATCTATCAATTGCATATTGATCAAACATGTCTTTAGAGTCAACCGTCCAAATTTGAACTCAATCTAAGACCTCTAGCCCCAGAAACTAAATCTATTTTCAAATGCTATTAAATCTTCAAATATTTATGTCCTATGCCACTGGACCCTCTACCATATGGAATTTGACCTTGGAGCCTCCTCCAACGCCTTTGATCATGTCCAACCCCTTTATTATGATATGTTAAGTATTAATCTACATTTTGGTGGGCCTATTTTGAGCCCAGTTGACCAAGGGTCAAAATGACAAAAATGTCCCTTAAGGGCAAAATTGAAGTTTCCTTTAAACTTCAACATTGCCCAGTCAAATCAAATCTTGAAATCTCCTCTAATGCATCCTAAACATCATTAGGAGTGTATTGGATTCAAATCGAGACCTTGTTCAAGCCTGGTTGACCAAGTCAACAAAGGTTGACTAAATGGCCCCTTAAGGTCCAAATGGTTAATTTGACCCAAATGACCATTCTAACCATTGGGACCACCTCTACTATAGTTCATTTATCATTTCAAATCTGTTGAGATTAAACCCAGCTCCTAAGTCAACCTTGACCCTATAGCCCTTTAAGGGTCTAAATAGTCATTTTGACCATTAGGACCATTATGGCCCATAAAACTACCCACACAAGACTCCAAACATCAAACCAAACTTATTGAGCTCAAACCCAAGTCCTAGTCACCTTAAGGGTTCAAATGGGCCAAACCAACCCATTTAACCAAATCAAGCCCTCTAAACTCTCAAGCTCACTTCAATGATTGATTTAAATATATCCAACTCATTTTGAGTCAAATAACATTTGCTTTGATTTAGTCAATCCTTAACCCATGGTCAAACCTCCCTATATATATATATATATATATCAAAGATTTTGAAAGGACTTTGAATGGTCAATTCCTTTTCAAATACCCACATCCCCACTCATAACTTGTGCTACATCATCCCAATGGCAAACTATATATCCCTCAAGTCCACATAAGCATTTATTAACTGTTTGACTAGTTAAATAGTCAATGGGAATGTGAAACCCATTGGAATGGTCAAACCCTTCAACCCGATTTTCCTAGCTTAGCCAGGCCCATCTAGCCATCCAAATAGGTTCTAGCTAGAATTTTCTTGAACTCTATTTGAACCAATCTCAGTCATTCATTTGATCCTAAATGGCCTATGATTTCTCCTCTTATGATATGAAGCCAAAATAGCCTCTACTCATCATTGTACCTCCCTGTCTTTCCCCCGCACTATTCCAACTTCTTTGGGATAGGTGGAGGCAATCAAATAATGTATCCAAACAAATCCCAGGTGTCCATTCAAGCTGGGGACATTTGAATAAAGTAAAAGGTTAAAAAAAAGGCTTATTCTTCAAGTTACCCCCTCTCTCTCTCTCTCTCTCTCTCCACTCTTAGCCTCTCAAGCTTAGACTCCAATTTGTTCAAGCTCCTCACAGTCCTCTCTTCATGTCCACAGTTGAACCCCATTATCAAAAGCTCACCAACGACAAGTTCTCTGGCGAACCAAAGGCAAACTCCGTCCAAGGGCTATATCCTTCAATCCAGTATGTTTCAGACCATGATTTCAATAAGAAAAAGATATGTGGATAATCTACAAGCTCAAAGAGTCTAAAATCTTAAAATCCCACCAATTATATTTGGTAAAATCTTAAACCCTAGACTAGGGAACTCAAGTTTAAATAACTTTTGATTAAGTGCATTTCAAAATACGATTTCAAACCCCCATTATTTTTGTTCATTTATATTACTTGTATTTAAAATTTCATGCAATTTGATCCTCTAGACTGAGAAAACAAATCATTTTTCATTTTTAGGGCATTTTGTCTACCCTGCATTAAGTGTAAGTTTTTTGGACCGTTGATCTCACAATCAAAGATCTAGATAGCATCATTCCACTGTTCTAATTAACTACGCTTTCATTTTCATGGTTAATCACTCTGTTCGGCTCGATCTGAGCTATTG